GCGGTGGCGGAAAAGACTCTACAGGAACAAATTGCTGTTCTGACTTACCTAGATGTTAAAATCAGGCAATGCTTCAGGCCAGTGTTTGAGGAAACAGAGCCTTCACTGCTGTGGCGGAAAAGACTCTACAATCCTGTGCCCTGGAGGGTGGAATATACTGCTTTTTCCACAGGCTTCAACAGTTTTTAAGGAGAGCTTGTACTTGTATTTTATCTTATTTTGGCTGAAATCAAGTCACGGATCTTACATAGCACGAGGGTGATAACGTTTTATCATGCTTTAAGAAAATAAAAGAATTCCAATCCCTCTTCCCAAAGGCACCGAGGCTTCGTTGGGATCCCTTTCATCATGGGAGAAGCCATTGCAGGCTGTGGGATGGAGCTGAAGCTTTAATTTCTGGAAATAACCATTTCCAGGAACCATTTTTGAAAATGAAACACTGCCTCATGTCCAGTGGCCCCCAGTGACTTATGCCACAACGAAGCCTTGGGAACTTCACTGGGAAATCCAAAATGCTTCGTTTCTGAAACAACAACTGTGCTTCATCAAATGAATGGGACAATTCAATTGCAACTATCAGAAGTCTAACTGGTTTAAATAGGTTTACTCTAAGGATGGCGAATGCTAGATTTAACCCATGGCTTTTAAATTATGATTTTGATATTTTATAATAAGCTGCTCTGAGATGAGTGTGTGTATGTTACTAGCACAGCTGACTTAAATATTCCATTTTAAATTATTTTCTTTTATATTACTTTAGAAAGTACTCTAACTTTTCATACAATTAATTAACATTTACACATATGGAAGCACTGAAAAACTAATTTGCATTTTAAAGATCTGTTCTAAAATTGTTCTAAGGCAGTCATCCATGCTATACTAGTCTTATTAATGTTTCAGGAACTACACATTTCTTTATTTGTTGTACAACAATGTGAATCAACAAACAGAGCTGGCATTTATTACTAAATGCCAGCTGCATTGAACGGTTTGTTCAGATCCATCTAGAATCTTTCAACAAATACATTTTCTTAGTCCATAGACATGGACTCTAATGTAACTTTTAAAATTCAGTAAGCTAGCTAAAGGCCCAGACATTAAAAAGCAAAATTCACAATGAAGTGAAAGATTGAACATGAAACAAGTGCCTCTAAAAAGAAAATTACAGTGCATGGACATTTGTCCTGCTGTCTGCACTGGAACTCCCACTGTAAATTTCAGTGATTCCCCTGCCTCATCCCATCAGCTACACAATGTAAACTTAATCTTGATTAACCCAGTTTTTCCCCATGAGTATTTGGTATATTTCGTTTGATAAAAGAGCTTTTTTTAAAAAAAGCCTTCTCACTCACACTGTTTTATCTCACTTTCTAGCTTACCACCTATATTGATCCTTGAGGGAGGTTGTGGGTTGCATCTTGATCACGTTGAGTGTCATGTCCTTATGGGGGCTGGGAGTGATAGTTCAGCCTTACTCCCTTCAGGCTCATACCCTGATTTCCCGAAAATAAGACCTAACCTGAAAATAAGCCCTAATATGATTTTTCAGGATACTCGTAATAAAAGCCCTACCCCCAAAATAAGCCCCAGTTAAGTGAAAGCCTGCCCTCCACCATTGTGCAGCAACCAGAAGATGACATCACTGTATTTAAATAAATGTAGATTGTTGTACATGGAAAAAAATAAAACATCCCCTGAAAAATAAGCCCTAATGCATTTTTGGAGCAAAAATTAATATAAAACCCTGTCTTGTTTTCGGGGAAACATGGTATCTCTTGGACTTATACCTCTTAATAATATATATTTTAATTTTAAAAATGTCACTAGTTTAGCAGATAAGCGATTCAGTGATAATCTTGCAGTGGATGTGCTTTGGCAGTTCAGTGCTATGTCACTTCTTAAACTGAACAAAAAGGGGAGGGCTGGCAGGGAAAAAGGCAAGGATATGGAAGAAGAGGCTGTGATGTACTAAGGGGAGAAATTTACCTAATTTTATCCTCTGCTTTATGGACATTTGTAGTGGCATAACTAAATATTTTCATTCAAATGATAACAATGATTTTAGACAGTACAAAGTGCCTAGATACAGTATAGAAAAAATTTGGGACAAACTCTCATCTAATTGTTTAAACAAAAACAGCCAGAAGATGACATCACTGTATTTAAATAAATGTAGATTGTTGTACATGGAAAAAAATAAAACATCCCCTGAAAAATAAGCCCTAATGCATTTTTGGAGCAAAAATTAATATAAAACCCTGTCTTGTTTTCGGGGAAACATGGTATCTCTTGGACTTATACCTCTTAATAATATATATTTTAATTTTTAAAATGTCACTAGTTTAGCAGTACATCAGATAAGCGATTCAGTGATAATCTTGCAGTGGATGTGCTTTGGCAGTTCAGTGCTATGTCACTTCTTAAACTGAACAAAAAGGGGAGGGCTGGCAGGGAAAAAGGCAAGGATATGGAAGAAGAGGCTGTGATGTACTAAGGGGAGAAATTTACCTAATTTTATCCTCTGCTTTATGGACACTTGTAGTGGCGTAACTAAATATTTTCATTCTAATGATAACAATGATTTTAGACAGTACAAAGTGCCTAGATACAGTATAGAAAAATTTGGGACAAACTCTCATCTAATTATTTAAACAAAAACAGTCTACAGTAGAATAGTTAGAGTTCGTCCACATATTTAGGTATTGCAAAGAACAACCATTTTAGTACAAAACAGTTTATATTGAAAGGAGATGCACAGTTTCTTACTCTGGAGGAGTGTATATGCAATGTTCAGGGACTCAATGTAGAGTAGTAAAAACTTCAGAAGCAGTATAGGCTTTCCCATCATGTCATCTAGACACTAGGAGAAACACGGGAGCAAACCTCCATCACATCTTACCTGAGAGTCATTGTTAATGAATGACAGTGAGTATCATCTATGCTGTTTTCAGTGACTAATGGCGTAACATCTGAGTTTGAGGCCATATAAACTGAAAATAGAAGACTGTAGCCTCCTAAATTGCTTTTATTTTCCATTGTACGAAAGTGTCATTGTATAAAACAATGTACAGTATTTTCATTTTTAATAGTCTCCAAAACCATTTTACTGGCACTTTGGGGAGACTTGATAATTTACAATGTTCTGAATTTTCCTTGTGAAAACTCTGCCTGACGTTTTCAAGAAAATTGGAATTTAGAAGTGGATAGTGGGACTGCATCCATCACCCCATCACCAAATTTGCTTTCATTTCATGGCTGGATTGAAAGTCCACAGCAGGGTCTTAGCTTTTTTGTATCATGAATGTATTTGGCATCTAGCATAGTATTAGACACTTCAGATAAATAATCTGCTTAATTTTCTTTAATAAAGGTCCTTATGACAGTGGACGGCCATTTTAATTATAGAACAGTAAACATGAACAGTATTCTGAATATTTATTTGCTTTCAGTGCTATTTTCAATAAATACTGGTGTTATTTTCATATTTGAGGTAAAATAAGAACACTCAAGAATGTAGACCCATAAATCTGTGCATTACTTTTCTACTGTTATACAGAAATATTGTGCCAACTCTAGAAGAATCCCTTTTTTCCTAGAAAAAACTCATTCCACTGGAAATTTGTCAAGAATGGTTATTGCATTCTATGGTTCCAGGACGCCTTTTGAAAACTACATTAGATACATTTCTAAGCAATTTGCACATCAAAGTTATAGGAAGAAATAGGCCATGAGGATACACTTTGGGCCAAGCAAGGTAAACATTGTGTGAAAAATGACAATAACTGCATGTTTACTATCCTCATAATGTATGGCCTGGAATAGCAAGGTGCTAACAAGCATGTTGTTTTACTTTTAAACATGCTTCCAGTTGCATTTCTGTGAGGCTACACCTGGGTTTAAAGCTAGTCAAGTGCTTAAGTGCTCTCTACAGCAGGCTTTTCCACACTACTAGTTTACCACAGGTTAATGTGAAAGGAAACTCGTTTTGCTGAAAGCTGACCTGCAGCATATTTTATTTATTCATTTATTTCATTTTTACACTGCCCATCTGGCTGAAGGCTGCTCTGAGTGGTTTACAACATATGCACTGAATAAGAATTTCTGGAGATTGATAAAATTACGGACACATTCTGGACTTGTGTTTCTATGATTCCAAGTGCACACCTTTAAAGAGAAACAGAAGTCCCTATGAATGTACGGTAATTTGAACGACTAGGCCACAGCCCTTGGATCAATGAGACTTTCAAGTCAAATCTTCTGTAAGTACACACATTAATTCAGTGAATCTACTCAACTGGTCCCCAACCTTGGGTCCCCGGCTGTTCTTGGACTAAAACTCCCAGAAACCATCACCACTATGCTGGCCAGGATTTCTGGGGACCCACGGCTAGGAATCACTGGTCAAATCTTCTGTAAGTACACACATTAATCCAGTGAATCTACTCAAGTGGTCCCCAACCTTGGGTCCCCAGCTGTTCTTGGACTAAAACTCCCAGAAACCATCACCACCAACTACATACAGTATGCTGGCCAGGATTTCTGGGGACCCACGGCTAGGAATCACTGGGCTACTCTATTTGGGACTAATAATTGGATTTAGACACTGATATGGAGCACCTGGCTGTGTGAGAGTGTGATTTCCCACTGTGCCTTGCACGAGACAAGCCAGGCTGTGTAGCCTCAGGCAAGCTGCACAGTCCTAGGGTGCTGCCACAAGAAGGGAGTGATAAATCATTTCTGAATGCTATCTACCCTAGAAAAACCTGGAAAGGATTGCTGTAAGTCAGAATCAACCTAAGAATGAAGTGACATATCTTGATATTTTGGGCTGGGTCAGTCTTAGCCTTATTATGCATTGTCCCAGGACAGAAACTTCTATCTGCCCATATCAATCTCTTTAACCAGGGAACAGTTATGAACAATGGCAACAGCAGTAATGCTGTTGGCAGCCCAGCTTCTATTTTGTATCCACCACATTGCATGAGATCTAGTGCGTGTGATTTCCCACTGTGCCTTGCACGAGAACAGCCAGGCTATGTATTCTGGGGCACTGTGGAAATAAAACAGCAGAAAAACTCCTTCTGGGAGTTGTACTCTATAAGAGTAACTTCTCTCATCTTCAGAAAACCATAGCAGCTACCACAGAAATAGAGTACGGAATATATCTGAAGAAAATTCTGCAAAATTGACTTGTTTTTCTAGACATATAAGAAGGTAACACTTTTTCTCGGGAAATTATATTTGAATAAAGTTTAGCTCAACTCTACTCTGCATATTTAATTTAGCTGTTTTTCAGAAGCCAATATTCTGATGCAGAAGTATTAATAAGCTGGATGAATCAGCACTGTATGTTTTTCACCTGTGGTAAGCTATAGCATAGACAAATCCTGGGGGTAAAAACTCAAGTACAATCCTTTGAAACTTCAGCACATTAAACAATTAACTCATGTTCAATATTTTTAGCAGCACTGATAATTCTTCACATCAGTGAGGCAAGTCTTAACAAGTTCCTAACTTTGTCTGCAGACACCACCCGATTAACAAAAATAGAGGTATAAGGCAAACCTCTCTCTAGTATTCTACTAAAAAAGAACTTCTGATTCAACAAACTCTCTTGTTCACAATAAAATAGACGTTTTAAAAAATAAACTCTTCCTTTTCTTTCTCACAGCACATATAAACATTTTGAAGGGCAGGGCGTAGCTCTTGACTTCCTTATCCATAAATGCAGCGGGTGGACAGGTTTCCATTCTCTTGACATGGATGCTGGTATGAGTCCAGTTGGCCCTTAAATGGCTGGCAAGCCCAATACCCGTGAACCAAATAAATAAGCTTACCATGACAACTGTGTGATTTTTAAAAAAATTTAAACTGTGGAGACAAAACACATTTTACTCCTTTTAAGATGGAAGAATAAATACTGTACATGGTCATGTGCTTCATAACCTTCTATAATGAGCTGGAGTACCAAGGCTATAAGTGCTTTGTTCAAGTGTGCAACATGCGCTCAAGTACTTTAAAATGTTTAGACAGTTGTAAGTAATCCACACCGAGTTCATGAAGCTACAACTAATGCTTTTGTGCTTTGCTTCTTGGTATTCCAAGCACAGAATAACTTGGTTGGCAGTCTTTACTGTTGTTATCATATTCTGCAAGCTACTGATAGCGGTGATGACACTACCCTGAACAACCGATTTGGAGTATTAGTGAAACCTGTGGGCCGTGTTTCAACACTCCAGGGTCATGCAGTGGGGGTGGGGGAGTGGGGTATCCGTGGGGCAGAATGGTTCACATTACAGTGGTCCTGGAAGGTGGGTCATTTTCAAGCTTTGATCCGCATCAACTCTGGCTTGTCAATATTCTACAGAGTTCACTATTGCCAACGGTTCGTCGAAGGTTGCCAGCATGATTTGCTTTGTGGAAGGCATGGAGATGATGTCTCCTGCTTCAGTTGGTGAGTGAACTGTATTGTCTAAACTGGAACTATCTATAAGGTCCAACACCTCTTCTTCATTATCTTCGTACAGTGTATTAATATGCAGAAGAGGATGTGTGGAGTTGCAGTTTAGTGTAGGCACTGGCTCTGCCATGCTGACCTGGGGTAGAGTAACTTTTGTGGCAGCACCAGAAGTTGCTATATGGTTGTGATTACAAGTGAGAAAAACCCCAGTGGCAGGCACAGTCCTGCAGGTATCATGTGAATAAAGAGTATCTTTGCCAGTACCAGAAGGATCTGAAAAAGAAACAAAAATACATAAAAATCATTAATTTCTTTGCCTGTGTCTACTGCCATAGGATCAGTTCTGATGTTTATGTTTAAAGGGTTAATTTCTTCAAAAATAGTTTGTTTGTTTGTTTAACTTATATGCTGCCCACTCTACCCAAAGGTCTCTGGGCGGCTTACAACAATTAAAATACAATAAAAGATAAAATGATTAAAATACAATTAAAATTGCCATCAGGACCCACAGTTGTGAGAGGCCACAACATTCTACACAGCTGTGTACTCTGATGTAGCTGGGTCACTGTAGGATGTTGTCTCTCTCTCTTTGTGCTGCTAGCTGACACATTAGTTCCTTAAAGCCCACCCTCTTCCCCTGCAGTAGCCACTGGTTTCCATCAATTACATATTTTTTATGCTCTTGGTTAGCCTTCTCCTAACATTCTAGAAGGGAAGCACTCAACATTTTTTCCCCTTATTTCACTCATCTTACTTTTTTCCTTGCAAAAGGTAACAAGTAGAGATGGGAGTATTTGTATACAAATATGAATATCCCTTGCACAGGTGGCGTTAACGAGGGTCCAGCCCCATGGGGGCGGATGGTCCATTCACTGATCCACCATGGACACACATGGTGCAGTTCTATGAATGGTGCCCCAGCGCACAATCCGCTCGCTACTCCTGGCAGAAGGCGGGAGGACAAGCCTCATTGCAAGGTCAACGAGTGGCAAGCAGATCGTGCACTGCGGCACCATTTGTAGAACCATGCCCTCCCCATCCGCGGCATTGGTGAGTGGACCATCCAGCCCCATGGGGCTGGACCCTCATTAACAACATCATATACGAATACCCCCATCTCTAGTAACAAGCAAGCCAATGCCTAGACTTTCTTCCTTCATTATTCTTCGTAGAATTGAGTGCTCTTGACTGAAGTTGGAAGGAGAAAGGTCGAGGAAAATCAGCTGGTATCTGATTGAACAAGGAAAACAAGAGGACAGTAACTTATTTGTTTCCGTTGACTAACTTATTTGTTTCTTCTGGTAATAAAAAGGCTGCGCTGATGATGTTTGGTGTAGTTACAGTGGCTCTCCTGCCATGAGAATCTGAAGGGACTTTGGGATCCATGAAAGTGTATATGGTGCCTTATAAAGAGGTTCATAGAGAGGTCTGTAGCATGCATGCAAGCAATAGATGTCCAGATAGTTATTCTAGACTTGGGTGCTAGAAGATAATGCTTGAGAATCAAAACAACCACAAAATGGGAATAATGGCAGCTGTCTTAAGTTGAACGAGACCCTGGTCCACCTGGTTCAGTCAACTCTGACTTGCAGCAGCTCTCCAGAGTTCCAGGCTGGATTGTTTGCTAGCCCAACATGGATACCTAGTATTATCAGGTAATCATCCACCTAGGCACCAACCGGGCCCGACTCTTCTTAGCTTCTCAAATCAGATGAGATCAGGTGTGTCAGGGTTGCATTTCAGGTATTTAACACAAAAAGTTAATCTACAGGCATATACACTGAATTTTCTCAGGCATATAGAGAAAGAATGCCATAATATATAATGGATGGGAACCATCTTCTCTCACACGGACCTGTCTAAGAGTAAAGATCTACACCTTTCATGTGGCTATTGAAGAGGATGTTTTCTATTAGGATACCTAAATTGTGATACTTCCTCCCAAGGTTCGTTTTTATTCACCTGGAGCCTTTGATGCGATTTTTCAGATGCCAGACAAAATACATTTCAATAGTATTTTATATGCTTTTAGGACATATTTTTCACTTTTATTTGGATTACAGTTTTACAGTTATTGGAGTTGTTTACTGGTTCATTATTCTTATTGCTTTTATTAACTAGAGAAGTTTTTTCTTACCAGCTTTAAAATGTTACCATCTTTATGTTAGCTCTCATAAAATTTGTGTCACAGGCAAATGACAATTATTTAAATAAATAAATAAACACTTCAGATATTTTAATAAATGAAAATGAGAGATGTCATCATTGCAATACAGATGCATTCAGAGACCAAAGTAATGCACATATGACATAGCATGATTGGTAAAGAAGCAGAGTGAGGACTAAAACACATAACTTAAGAGAAGAGATAATCAAATCAAAGCAGTTACACTCTTGTTAATGTGGTGACTTAAAAGGAAGCCATCTGGCTATGGGCACAAACCATCTAGGTAAGCTTTAAGGTGGAGTACCCATTTTCTGGTTGTCTGTATATATATGGGATTGCAGGCCAAGACATTTTGTTTTAAGAGAACATCAGTATTACAAAGAACTTTAATTGTTCCTTCTTTTCATAAAACTGTAGTATTGTGACAGGATGGTTAAGAGCTCTCACAAAGAATGGTCAAGGTCCTTACACTGCAGTTTCTAGGAATCTCGGCAGGAAAGCATCACATAAACAGGCTCTAATCAAGTTCTGATATATATATATATACTGGACAAGCTGCACCATATCAGAAAAATTGAATGGAACACCACTTTACACGTAGAAAACTCTGAAAATGGTTGCCATAAATCAGAATCAACTTGATGACTTGTCCTGATTAAATGACAGCTGATTACAGAGAGGTTCTGAGCATGAAATGTTTTCTTTTTTTGAGAGGGTTAATCCTGTATTTTATTTCAATGATTTACATACAAGAAAACTGAAAACCACAATTATTTCTGAAAATTATAATTCCAGTACTTTTTCAATTATAGCAGAGATGGAGAACCTCAGGCCCAGGGGCTATATCTGGTCTCTCTTCCGCATTTCCATGTGACACCACCTCACATCCTCCTCCATAATCTCTATTAACGGGACAACATTCTGCATTTATTCTATGTTAACTCAAACTCTGAGTCTCATACTCCTGTGTAAAGATCAACTCCCAGTGGCTTCCTAGAGGAACAGCATGGCTTTGGGTCACCAAATTCTTTGAGCAGGACACAAGCCTAAACATAACCATGACTTTTTCTGAAATGGACACTTAAAATGTAGATTTTTTTTAAAATTTTGAAAAAGTAACTAAATGTGAGTGTCAAGTCCCAAGTTTGTGCAATATTATGTCCCTTAACCAACACATTCTACAAACGTGGTGGTCAGTACATACCTCTCTAGTGAGGTTGCCACTTCTGTGTGGTCAGAATCCCATGACGCAGCAGTAACATCCTCCCATACTACCTCCGCCAGTCTGACACACATGGTCTCCAATACAGAAGCTACTGCTGTGGTGTGAGATTCCAACCACGTGGAAACAGCAACCAGTGACATCTGAGTAATTGCAGGAAAAGACTCCAATGTTAATCGCAATTTGGGAACCTGCTAACATATTTCGATTGAATACAGTGAAACAAGTAGTTGAAATATCACCATACCTTGGAAAGAAGATGTGACACGCACTATGACCTTTTCTTCTTGGCTTAAAAATCCACTCCCTTGGCTTTTGGATGTTGCCATAGAGGTAATTGGTTGAATTTCTGGCTTAGGTTTCTTACTACTAAGTATATAGGGATGAACATCTAAAGAAAAGTGCCGTGTATGCTTTTTCTCACTACCTGTGCTACAGAGGCTGCTGGATTCCGTTTTCTGGGATGAAGAGGGCTGAGGGTTTTTTGAGTTGGATTCGAGCAAAGGGGCAATCAGACTGTCTGTTGCTGTCTTCCGACGCACCGGCTTGGGCTTCTCAGGCTTACTGTTCTCCACCTTCATAATAGCTAGCTGCTCCTTGAATGGTTGAGGAAGAGGATTGGTACTTGGGATCCATTTCATTTTCTTCCGAGGTCGCTTAATAATCAGTGGCTCACTAGGGTCAATGTCTGCAGGATCAATGCTGGGATCTATGGTTTGAATCCCAGAATCACGTACAGTTGGCGTGACATCATGGTTTGACTGGGCAAGTGCAGCAAGTAGCTGGCGCACGACGTTATCATACATCAGGTCGCTTTCATTGGTGATAAAATCCAAGCGATTCAGTGACTTGATGTGGTCCCGATTTTCATTGCAAAACATAGCCAAGATATTGATGTCACAGAACTGGGATTTCTGCCATTGCTTTTTAGTCTTTATACCAACCTTGTTCAGTTTGTCAAAAATGAAGTTTGATTTGCGGACGATGAAAAGATGAATTAAATTGATGAGGATGATCAAATTCATGAAGCAGAGGAGGACGATGTCCACCCCAGCAATGATGCGCTGTAGCTGAACTGAGGGCAGTTTGCAGTTGACACGAATGAGCAACTTAGAATTGCTGGTTTTATCTGGTGGTTCCCCAAGAGCGCACGTAAACTCGTTTTGTTTCTGGGTAGCGTAGTATGTAGACAAGTATGTGATTGGGATGATGCTTAAAAATATGATAAATAAATGCCGTGCAAGATAAAGTTTGGCTAAGAAATTGCTGCGTCCTCTCCGTTCCAGGTATTTTTCAAATAAATTTTGCTCAGGGCTTTTTTCCTTTTCTGCATTCTCAATAATCTCTCTCTTCTCTCGTTCGGTAATCCCAGGGCCTTTGGACTGGATTTGTTTTTCAATTTTTGGTGCACGACCTTCAGCTGCTCGGTGGTAGCAGTTATCTATCTCCTGGAGCAAAAAGTTAAGTTCAGAAGTCAGCCTGGTGGAGGCCAGGAATTCCCAGCCAAGCGCTGGAATGTACATAATGCCAGCAAAAGCCAGCAGGGCATATGGAAGGAACTTATGCTCAAACAAGGAAGGCCAATGGCTGGCATTGACTCCTGGCAAGGCATCTCTTAGTTCTGTCCAACAGTATCCTCGGGCATACAAGGCTTGGTCACGGGTGAAGTTGTGTGGTGTGTAACAGTATATTGGCTCCTCTGTATAACAGAGAGAAAAGTCACTGCTGTGCATTTAACCTACAAAAGGAACTCTGCAAAATAAATATTTTATAAGCTACATCAATGTTCATCTGCAGTATATTTAAAATAGCATCATGCGCTCAAAGCTGCACCACATTCTAAGCATAATTCTGAAATGCTTGAAAAACCTGCTTCCCCGAATCATGACACAAGCACAAGGAAAGCAATCAACTCAAAAAGGGCTGCAGTAACACTATCAATAACTTCGACACAAACTCTCTGGGTGATAATTCCCCATGCAAATTGTACTGAATGATGGAAATCAAATGAACAAAATAACATTGCTACATAGAAGATGAGGATTTACCTACAGGAAACAAGCATCTATACTATGTGCCTCTGTGTACAGATTAAAAATTAGTTGGTATTAAAAATCTGCAGCATAATAAGTTTGTTATAGCCTTTCTCTTCTTAAGAACTCTAAAGCAGGGCAAATTTATTTGGTTCAGTCTCTCTCGCTCTCACTGAATCAGTATAACAGGAAATGAAACCTTCAAATTCACTTCCTCGTAGCTCTTAAAAGAATAAAAGGTCTTACAATGTAGCACAAATATTATTCTAATAATAGTAATAATTTCTTATTTATTTATTTTGCTATATCTGCCCTTCCTCACAGGAACCTAGGACAGCTTTAACGGATTTGAACCCTCTACACTTTAAAGCACTCACAAACCTTGCATTCTGGCCACTGTGCCAGATTCCTCTTTAATTAATTCTGCTACTTGTAATGAACCAGAGAAAGATAGTTTACATTATTCCACCGGTGCACGTCTGGCAGCTGCTTCTACAATTTTAAGAGTTTAAAAGTCTAGCTCCACAGGACAGACCCTATCTCAAAATGTAGATATTCTCAGTGACATTATCTGTACGTATTACAAATGCGTCTCAACATGATTCAGTGATAATTCTTCCAACCTGGTTGAAATAATACTCTGATTCTAGAGAAAGGAAAAGTTCCTTTTTAGGGATGAATCCCAAAAGTTCAAGAATCCCTTGTCCAGCATGGTCAGCTGTAGTTTGGAATTCTGGGATCTGTAGTCCATCAAAATATGTCTCCCCATGTCTGCCCAAATTCTACTGACCAGTTAGTTACGCTTATCTAGAGTTGATGTCTATCATTACCCAAAGGGAAACGGCAGGCCATGGAAAATTCTCAGAGGATTTCTGGCAGTTATCTAAAAAAGCAGCTTTTCAAAGGTTTGGAAAGGAAAGACTGGGAATCTGTATCCCACTACTCACTGCTTCCAAAATGCAAAGCCATGAGAAAAAGTATTATGGTGAATTTTGAGATGCAGGACTGTACATAGTGTTGAAATCTAACCTAGTATTTGAGGGAATGATGCAATTGGTTCTGTTTGCTGCTGGAAAACATTAGTCTGGCTGATTATAACTAACTGCTGTACTTCCTCTATTACTTCATATGAAAAGTGACTATAAGCAAAAGATACATGTAAACAGCTACCATTAAAGCTCCCTTGTAATTTGACACCCCACTTCCCATTTTTTTTGTTGTTGTTGTAAAGAAAATGCCATGTGCTCTTTATATGGACAGAAACACAGCAGCCTGATTTTACAAAATCATACGGGCCTCATCTTGACTCAAAATGTATTTTCTGTGAATAAATGGAAGTAATTTAGTGCCATGTGAATCTTCCGAGAACCTTGTTAAAATATAGGATAGACTAGCAATAAGTTATGGTAATAGCCCAGGAAGCATATAATGCTATATTATGTATGAGGATGAAACCCAGTGAAACTTTCTCCTCATTTCCTTCTTTCCCTCCAGGATTAACTCAGGGAGGAGACTGGATATTTCCATGTCTATTTTAGAGTAACCACAGTTTAGTAAAGCATTGAAACCATATCAGTGTGGTTAATCTTAATTACTGAAAACAAATCAGTTTCTAAAACTAAGATTTGAATTTCAATTGTTTCTGCTAACTAGAGGTAACTTCAGTTTGTCTGGATACAGGTGAAACAGCAAACCAAGATTAATCTAAAACAGGAACAAAGGTTCTAAATGCTTTTTGTCAAAGGAGGGGAAAGTGTGTGCATATCAAGCTTGGTGAGAGTCATCCTCATAATGCTAAACTGTGGTTCAGTGTTACATGCAAATACAAAGTTCTTCTATCACAAGAGTGTGCAAAATGTGATCCATGGGCCACACAGTCCAAAATCTACTCCCTCCATTATTCTCAGATTCCCAAATTTCAATTTTAGAAGAATAAAATGGAAAAGTAACAAAGTTGCCACATTTCCTCAAGGTGTTTCAGATTAAAGAGAAGCTTTAATTAAAAAAAATAAGGGTAAGTGGAGATAGGGAGAAGGCGTGGATGACCCTTAGATTTCTGGAATTTGCCTGCTCTTGCTGTTTGATAAAGTTTATCTCCATCTTGGGGATATACTTAAGCAGACTGTTTATGTTGTTCCTGTGTACATGCTTGGTTATGATCCCTCTTTGGAGAAAGATTAACTATGACCGCCCTTCAGAATACTGTTGTGAGGGTAAAGCCAGCCACTTACTCCTCATGAGGCCTCAACTGATTATGAAGGCTTCCCTGAGGGTAAAGCCAGCCACTTACTCCTCATTTTAAGAGACTGAGGCCTCAACTGATTATGAAGGCTTCCTGTGTATAATGTAGACAGGACACTGAGATACAAGGCACCCTGTCAACCATCCTTGCAATGTAGAAGCCTCTATGTACAAAACAGAGGTTAGAAACTTCCAGAATCCCTTAGTTAGCACAGCCAGTGGCCCATAAAAATTAGTTGTAGCCGCTAAAACTAGTTTTTCTAACCTTTGACTTTAGCGGGCATAAAAATTGGCATTTTGCATGTCTTTTAGAATTACTCCTTGAGTTGGCATGCTTTTGTTTCTCATGAGCATTTGTTGCATTAAGTGATTTCAAGACAGGAGCAATTAAGTTTATATCACACTTGTCTTAACATGCACGTTCTGCACTAAAGATTGTGCAAGTATTTGCTCTCACATTTTTATAGAAAAAAATGTACAGCTAAATGGCATCTAAGTCTAAGAGAGCAATTTAGAATTAAGTATCTGTTTGGACAAATCTGTTTTGTATTCATGGAAACGTTGTTACTGAGTATAGGAAACAGTTTAGCCATTTACACCGACAAATCTGTTTTGTATTCATGGAAACGTTACTGAGTATAGGAAACAGCTTAGCCGTTTACACCAGTCTGACAAGAAGCTCCTCAAATAATGCTGTTAGTATTTTCCTTTGGGGATGGATATAAAAAGCAGCAACCTTGTTGCACTTACGTGGATTTATTATGATCACACATCCATGACACAGAGTCTAGATTCAACCTCAAGGTCATAAGAACATTATAGCCCTTTTATCAGAATCTATTTCAGTTGAAAGTAACTACCAAGTGTGAGTCACAGGCTGTCATTTTCGAAAACAAAGTGACTTTTGCCACTGGATGCCCTGCTAGAGGTGGCTGTGTGGATGGCTCCACTTGCTTCCTGATGATAATGTGATCTGCAGCCTTCAGGAGTTTGGGGCTGCAGGTTTTGGGACCAACCCTGAACAAAAATTAAGTATATGCACCATTCACTAAACATATAGAGATGTCATATAATAAGAAGTCAAGGAATAATTTATAAGGAAGTCAAAGGATAATTTAAAAACATTAAATGAGAAGAGAAAACACAAGTAATTCCTAATCATCAAAGCAGCACAAACCCCCAGATTATATTGTGAACATGCTGCATTCCTGCAATAGAAGAAATGCTGATTCACTTGCATTTAGAATTTCATGGAGAACATTTTGTATCCAGACTCAAGTCATATCGCAGACAGACAGCTGAAACCACACTGGCTTGTCCCACTGATTTATTCAGCAATCTATTCAGGGAGGCCTTTCACACCAACCCTGGTTGACTCTTTGACTCTCATCCAGCCATTATGGGAAAATCACCTCTGCTGCTATCTGATTTATTTGTTATTGGTCTAAAATGTTTTAATCTGTTACAGTTTTACATCACTGAGACTGGATCCTACCTTATATATTGCAGTGCACTTGTTTAAACCATATCATTCTGTGAGTGAGTTAAAAAACATTTAATGGAGAAATTTCTTATTTTCTTCCACAAGCTGTACATTTCTGTCTTTGTCTTGGTACAACAAGAAGGCAACCTGCAGATGTTCACAGCCACACATGCTGTTCCCTGGACTTTGGGGGTGTCTGTCACACCTGCTGGCTCAACCTCAAATCCCACTTTTTCTTACATATTTTTAGTTTTAAAAAAATCACTAGCCCTCTTACACTTTTCAGTAGTCAAAAAGTTTGTTTTTAAAAAGGGGCAGAGAGCCCTCAAAAGATGGCAAATTTATCTCTTTGCCTCATGGAAGGCACAAGTTTTGACTAAATTTCTATCATTAAAAATAAAATAAAATTGGAACATGGGGTGCTGGGAGGCTCATATTTGTACCCCTGGGGGCCATGCATGGCCTGTGGGCTGCATGCTGCCCGCCTCTGGTGTCACAACCAAAAGAGCCCTGTGGTGGATTGGTTAAACTGCAGTTCTGCTCACAACCTGAGTTTGATCCCACTGGATTCAGGTAGTCAGCTCAAGGTTGACTTAGCCTTCCAACCTTCTGAGGTTGGTAAAATGAGTACTCAGCTTGCTGGGAGCAGAGGCAAAGAGTTGTTTGCATAATGATGCTGTAAACTGCCTAGAGAGTGCTTTAGCACTATGGGGCACTATATAAGTTAAAACAACAACTACCTATGTAGCCATTGGTAAATGCAGTATCAGTTGAGTGATAACTGAATTAACTTATAGACTTAAAGCAGTTCCTGCAACTATATACTTCTCCTTCCAGCCACAGGACATACGTACACAGTTGTTTGCATGTGGAAAATGGCAAGTCTGAAAAGTTATTTGGGGTGTATCTAGGGATTTATTTATTTGCTAAATCTCCTTTTAATGACAGGTGCTTCTTCTCCAAGTTTCCAAAGCATCTTAGCATGTGGCTTGGAAATCAGCTACATAAGAAACAGTGGCTTCAAGATCTGACAGAACAGTTCACAGTTCCTCAAATTTTGTTTGATGCCTTCCGAATTTATTAGATTTTGCTATGAAGAGTTTAAAATTTCCGCATAACATGGTATCGATTCCCCAAATCCTCAAACTGTTTGGTAGACATTCAGTGTTTCATATTCCACTTCAAGAAGCACCTTTTAAAGGAAATCTTGGCTACAACTCCTACAATTCCAATATCCTTCCGTGATTCTGTATACAACTAGACCTAGGTACATGAACTAGAAAGCGCCATGTGTTGCTTCCCCGTTTACCCCTTCTTCCATTTCACTTTCCTTCTGTTATTTCTTGTCTCATATTTTAGATTGTAAGCTTCAGTGCTATACACATAGATGGTACTATGTACAAAACACACACACACACACACACACACACACACACAGAGCTCCTACAAAGAACTCTCTGAGCTTGTGCAAGCAACAAACAACTGGGCAGAAGACTTAGAGTTGTTGAGGAAAACTTTACACTTTCACACGTGTGAATCATGTTTGTAATATTACTGAACTGGAGCCATTCTGGATTTAATCACGGCTCCATTCAGGTGTTACAGATTGAAAACAGGTAGGGCCTTAACTGTGGTGAGGACGAAGTCCAGATTCCAATCAAACTTTTGTGCTGACACACAAAGTTCTTCTGTAGTAGGGATGGGCACAAACCTCAGTTAGGGGGTTTGTTCATATGTGCAGCACCACAGGTGCTTTCTTCCCCTGCCTCCCCAGGCAGTCAGAGTGTGCTCCTCTCCTCCTCCTCCTCAGCTGTTCAAACCCTCTCCAGCAGGACCAGGGGTTTGCCTATCCTGCCTCCTTGTCTGAGTGGAACAATCAGCCAAGGAGGCGAGGCAGGGAAGTCTGTGCTCCTGCCGGAGACTGGCCAAACAGCCAAAGAGGAAAAGGAGAGGAGTGTTTGCCAGCTAGGGAGGCAGGGGAAGGGACCGAGGTTTGTGCCCATCTCTGTTCTGAAGCACTGCTTGTATGTGAATTCAGCCAAATGGGCTTCTAGGGCTCTGGTGACTGGGAGACCTGATGCAAGGAAATGTAGGGCATGTTCATTTATGTATCCATTGTGGTTATTTGACTTAATCTGTGTACTTTTAATTTTCAGCGTAGTTGCTGGAGATAATGTTTTTTTGCATGCCATGTCTCTCTGATATCACTGTTCACTTTCCACCCATGTGTATGTTTATGTACATCCCATCCAGTTGTTAATTAAGCAAGCAGAGACCACATAAGCTGAGGGCAACACACTCAGCCTAGCCCTACCATCCTCACTTTCGACATGTGAAACTGAACAGTCTGAAGAAGGAAAGGCTGCTCTATTTAGGTGGTCTCCACATAACCCAGAATGCCAATTCGGTTGACTTTTAACTCATATAAAGAGGATATAGATAGATAAAGTAGCTTCCCTCTCTTCAGACTGTTGCTTGTGCATGTTGGAAGCAACATCTGGGGGGGGGGGAACAGGCCTCATGCATCTCCTTTAGCATTTGTGGACACCAAACACTCAGCTAATGACTGCGTAGTGCTCATGTCCTTTCTGGACAGGGTTAATGACCAAATGAGGAAAGGAAGCAGACTGGTTTTGCCCTCTCCCTTTCTTCAGGTAGAGAGGAATAAACTGAAGAGGACAGCATCACCTACGCATATGCTTATTTTCGGACCACAAGGCAAGCCTCCATGAGTATCAAAGCCTCTTCTTTTGAGAACACTACTCTCCATGCAAAGACAGCAGTGAAGGAGAGAGCAAAGTTAATGAATGTTCTTTCCTCATGTTCAGATTATCTCTGTGCTGAATGCCTGAATGGGGCTTATATCATTAAGATATGAAAATCATCACCTCTAGGTCCAACCCACACATTAAAGTCCTAGGAAATAATTGCACATTTGAAAAAAATACTCAGAGAAACCACAGAGGATACAATTTGAATCATGACCTTAGCAGAGGAGGCTCTTACCTGTTGCCTCCTGTTCCGATGCTGATCTACACTGGATCACACTAAGGAACAAAGCATTATGCCCCCATCCCATCATGATCCAGATTTGGTCCCTATTCTTTCTTTTCAATTAAAAAAAAAGGAAATAAGGGCAGTTTCTAGCCATGACTCTGTAGTAAATATATGTTTTCGCTCTTATTCATCTGAAAAGGAGATTCTAGCCACAATAACATGTAGAATTACTGTACAAATATGTCCTGTGAGAAGCCAAGAGACTCATTGTGCTATTTTATCTGGCTACTCTTATGGCATGAAAGATTGATGAAACACCCCTGCCCCCAAATCAGTTATTTACTGAGTTATTTTGTGAACAAGAGCAACAGAATCTATCCTCAAAATGTGTTAAGTAGTTTGCTTCTAAATAAACCACTTTGCTTTGTTTCATTCTCTGCCATATGGCAAGGATTCACAGTAACCAGGCACCTACTACTTAGATTTAAACACTTTCTACGGCATTAGATAATACTGACAGACTGGATCTTTCACCTCTGGAACAACAGATCTCAGCATGGAAAAACAAGAAAGAAAGCTCAGCTAAAAGAGAGAGCTGTTGTGTATGAATAACAGGCTTCACATATGACAAAAGAATGTAATGATGCATGTAGTTTTCCATCTATCCAAAGCTTGTTGTACACAAAGCTCACTGGAACAAATGAGAACTGCACAAGAGCACACGCCTGGTAGATGCGCCCTAATGGTACAGCAGTGTGAACGGAAAGATATCTCCTAATAGTCACTTCAGCAGGACAAAACGGATAAAAATAGAACACAAGAAGTGAATTACTTAATTTTTATTACTGAATAAAAAGAAGGTATTCTTCCTTCCTGTGAATAGGCTTAAGCAAAATAAATAAATAATGGCATGGATCCTCTTCTTTCTGCAAAATAAATTATAAATAGATTAAAATAGTATAAAGAGTTTGTTTGCTGCAAATTAACTGCATCAGCTTTCCTCACCTTTGTAAAATTCTTCCCACCATTAAAAAAAATCCCACACTACTCTCTGATTTATTTTGAATGTCACAAGGGATTCTGAGTAATGGTTATTAAATGAAATATACCTCAGAAGGCAAACAAATGTCAGTTTTGTTTATGTTGTATTTCTCATTTTCTTTGTCCATCCCAAAATCTGTTTTGGATTGTGAAACTTTTTTCTTCTTTCATATTCTTATAAGCACTTTCCCTAACAGAAAATTTGTATGTATTTTTCTCATTGATTAAAGTGACTTTGTACATATTAGGGTATACTTGGTGCATTTACATGCTTATAACTTAGGTCAGGAAGATAAAGAAGTTAATGTTTGTGATTTCCTCTTGAAGGGAAACTGAAGGAACATGCTACTCATTGATTAAAGTGACTTTGTACATATTTTTTAAATAGTTATATCTTTAGGGTATACTTGATGCATTTACAATGCTTATAACTTAGGTGAGGAAGATAAAGAAGGGAAACTGAAGGAACATGCTTTTTGGGCCATGTGTCCCACTGTTCCTGACAATATTTATTCTGTTCATACAATATTAGCACTAATTGTGAATAGATATGATCTTTTGGCATGATCATGTGATATATTCTCTTCAGCTGACAGGGCTTGTGGATTTTGTAGCATTTCCATTCACATAATTTTGCCTTTGATTTGCGTGAACACTAGTCCTTTAAGGCCATTGTTAAGCATGTCCAGATTACACCCCAAATGATGGGTAAAGAGGAGTGTGGAGTGGGGCTGAATATCCCTCTTGCCTATCTTCTGCTTATACTAATAGGAACTATAACTGCAATGCAATATGTAAATTTAGCGATAGGGTTAAACTGATAACAGTGTTAATTCAAATGCTTATCATGTCTTGTCAGTTCAGTGCTATTTCACTTGCTAAACATAAAAGAAGTGCTGTAATGATGGGTAAAGAGGAGTGTGGAGTGGGGCTGAATATCCCTCTTGCCTATCTTCTGCTTATACTAATAGGAACTATAACTGCAATGCAATATGTAAATTTAGCGATAGGGTTAAACTGATAACAGTGTTAATTCAAATGCTTATCATGTCTTGTCAGTTCAGTGCTATTTCACTTGCTAAACATAAAAGAAGTGCTGTAGAATGCCATCAGTGCTATTTCACTTGCTAAACATAAAAAAAGAAGTGCTGCAGAATGCCATTGAAAGGTGTGGGCAAAAGTGTGGAGGTAATTGCAGAGAATGGAGCTGTGTGATGTGTGGATACATAAAACACACCTTCTCAGGAAAATTAAACATTTCTGTGTACACACTGGCAGTGATTTAAATGTCAGAGTGAGGTACATAAATGTTCACATCAACCTGGGACAAAGTCATGCCATGAGAGATAGATACGTATTTTCTTTAACAGTCTCACAGGTGGCAGGTCACAAATTTAATACATTCATAAAAATATTGGTTCATGTTAATTTCTTTACTATCCCTTAAGTGCAGAAATGTGGTGGAGGACTGAATTAGGCAACTGCTAGGCAATACAGATATACAGTATCCAAGAGCTTATTTTAGTATAATGACGCCATTCCAATAGACATGAGAAAGTCAAGGTTGAAGTGTACATTTCTGATTAAAGAGCATGTAATTGCCTGCCTTCTTAGAGAAAAACAAAACAGCAACAACCAGAGCCCTGGACCATTAGAGGAAAGGAGGGAGGGAGGATGGATGGATCTTTATCACACAATGGACCATTAGAGGAAAGGAGGGAGGGAGGGAGGGAGGATGGATCTTTATCACACACACAAAAATCAGATATGCTTGTGCAGTATTTGTTGGAAGTCAAATATCATTAATATCACTTTTGACATATACAGCTCAATATTATATAAGATGTCTTTTTAAAGGATCTGTCCTTAAGCTCCTTAAAGGGCATCCTCAGAATACTATAATTCCCACTGTAATTCACTTACCAATGGAGGAGATAATAACAACCTCTCCTCCTTTCCTTTTAATGCTGCAGCTGCAAAGAAATAAAGCCTTGCCTTCAACTCATGCCCAGTCATTTTTTGTGTGATCTTCAACACGTCCACATGGAAATGTTTAGAGGTGGGAAACAGCCACAATCAGAAAACACTCACCATGGCTACCCTCAGAAAGAAATGAGAATGCACGGTTTCTGAAACTCACTATGATCCCTGAATTTTGCTGTCCACTATGACAGAGATGTTTAGCCTGCAACTGTACATATTTTCCCAAATTATTTACTTCTGAGCATGTGTTTATAGGATTGCACCTTGAATGCCTCTGGGAGATTTACACAACCACTGTTGCAAGAACCAGCAAAGAGTATCAAAGGATGAGGAAACACAGATGTCAGCCTATATTTTCCAGCTATCGGGATACAAGATACCACTGAACCCTGGTATTTTTACATGGCTGCCTCTAGAGACATTATTTTCAAACTTTTTGACTGCAGGGAATCATTTCCCTTTTTGTATACCCCAGAATCTCTCTGCAATGTACAGAATTCTGGGATGTACAGAAAGATGTATATTCAGTGCACAGGCTAACTATTTGGGCCTCACTGTTGTGCTGTATAACTTGGGGGAGCTTCTCCTAGAACATACCCATAACTTGTTTATTTGTTTATATCTCGCCTTTATTCCACTAAAGGAAAGCAAGGCACAATAATATCCTGGATACTACAGGGCCCAGATGGGCAGTCGTGTAAATGCACATTCTGCTCACTCTTGAAAACTCCTAGTATGCTTCCAAGGACCCCAAATGTTCCCTCGGGCTCAATGCAAAAAACATTGCTAAAGAGGTATGAATATTTACAGTCAGATGAGTCCAATACTCACATAGTTGCAGTACAGCTAAGACCTTTAAACTGAGAGCTTGGGGGAAGGTTGTGCAGGGACTACACACTGGAGGTTGGCCTGGCCCCAACAAGATGTGAGATGACAAAAGTTACCAAGAAGCACTTCTTCATCCCTCTGCCACCTTATTCCATTTGTCATCCCCACTTACACGTACAGTATTTACAGCTTCTCCCCATTCGGTGGCTCATGTTCCAATAATCTGCTGTTGACCTAAACTGCACGAACCTCCCTGTTATTATCAGAAGCTGGTCAATTAGGATACACAGGACACTGTCCCACCTGATATCTGTCTCAGCACCTTGGCTGACTTGTGTGGGCAGGTGCACATCTTTCTTTGCCTGCCTATCTGCATGTGTATATCTGTACATAAATGGCTCCTTTTGCCCTTAGCCTTTCCTGTTACCCTGGTCCTGCCACTGCTGGGTACTGTATTTCCCCCACCCCCACCCTCATGAACTAGCAACTGTTATTGGCATACTTCCCTTCATGCTGGACAGCTCAGATATTTAGGTATCTAGCTGCAGAGCCACAGGTTGGGAGTTTGATTTCCCACTGTGCCTCCTTGACAAGAGGCTGCACTAGATGATCCATAGGGTTCCTTCCAGTTTTGAAGTTCTTAGATGATGATAATGATAATTCAAGAAACTCCTCATTAATCATTTAGGTTGGGAGAAAGCAAATTCCCCATCTGGATTCCCCACCCTGAAACACTCTGTTAACCCTTCATTCTCACCTGCCATTTTTCAACAACTTCCAGATACATGTTGTAGGGCGCATTGCATATGCAATTCAAATAACTCCCCAAGATGGCGCCGATGGCGGGCAGCTAGCACGTCTCTCCGCCGCCTCGGTTCGCCTATTGGCTTTTACTTTTTATTTTTCCCTTTCCTTTTATATTTTTATTTTTTTCTTTCTTTTTCCTTCTCTTCCTTCCCCCCCCCATCTGCCTCCCCTCCTTCCTCCTCAATACCTTGCCTCCGGAGTGAAACCGGGGCTGCGTGGCTGGAGTGGGAGCTCGCAAGCTGGGGCCGGAGTAGGAGCAGGAGTTCAGGAGTGTGCTCCTCCGGCTTTCTGGCTGAGCTCGGAGGCTTGGGAGCGTTTCCTGGTCATTGGAGGAGGTGGGTCAGTGCTGTAGGGGTGCGGAGGTGGTTTTGGAGCAGAGAAGACCTGCAGACCGGCCCCAGATGCCCCCCTCCCTGGAGAGCGAGTCCCGATCACGTGGGTGAGTGCTGAGGGGAGCGCGCCCGGGACTCAGTCTGGAGCCGGTGGAGGCCATGGGGGGGGGGAAGAAGCCTTGAAAACTGGCATCTCGACGCCTTCCCCCTCCCTGGAGAGTGAGTCCTGACCATGTGTGGGCCGTGTGTTGAGGGGAGTTCGCCTGGGACCCAATCCGGAGCTGGTGGACACCACCGGGAAGGGAGAAGACTTGCAAAGCGGTGTTTTGATGCCCTCGCCCCCCCCCTCCCTGGAGAGAGTGAGTCCCTGGAGAGTGAGCCTTGGCCGTGTATCTGATCCTGGTGCCTGCGGCTCTGACTGCCTGGTTTCCTGGGTTGGAGGTGGTGACTGTGAGATCCGGGAGCCCTGCGAGCCTTGGGTCCTTGGTGAGGTGGAGCGGACCAACCCAGGCTTGGAAGTAGGAAGCTGGTGGGAAGATCGGGGCTGTAAGAAGAAGAAAGTGCTATCTGTTGTAGTCTCGGCTGGGTGGTCGCCATGTTGGATTCTTCAGTGGCAGCCCCCATCCTTGGAACATACTGTTTAGCCTGCGCTTCCTGGACTAAATACATTCTTGCCTTACCCTCCCGCCAGGGAAGGGAAGGCGAAACACCAGGGTCTGTGTCACTGTTAACCCGGACCTTTCTTCTCTGGACGCTCCCTAAATATATTACTAAGATTCTCATGCTATACCCTGCAATTAACATCTTCACTCTGACACTTCTATCACAGTTAACATCAGTTTTATTAAGCCCAAAAGCAACATCAAATTGGGCAAAAGTTGGAAGGATAATGCTACGAGGCGGAGAAGGACCGATGTGGACTTTATGTGGGGGTT